GCCAGGTGCTTATCCTGGTCTCCCATGGTCCCATGGGGTGCAGGGCCCAAGCACTTGGGCCATCCTCCACTGCACTCCCTGGCCACAGCAGAGAGCTGGCCTGGAAGAGGGGCAACCGGGACAGAATCCGGCTCCCCGACCAGGACTAGAACCCAGGGTGCCGGCGCCACAAGGTGGAGGATTAGCCTATTGAGCCACGGCGCCGGCCAAATAAATCTTTTTTAAAAAGAGAGAAACAGTGTGATGGATTCTAGCAGGATGCATCCCATATTCTTGTTTTAAATGAAGAAGCTCATTTGGGAAGTGGGTATCAAGGTGGCACATAACCAAGCCAGGGAGGATATTGTGTTAAGTCCTAGTGGCCAGAATCTTGGGCTGACATTGGTAGGTCATATAGAAGGCCACCCCTGAGGGAGGAATGGCAAGACATGCACAATGCACAGGCAATGCATGGGGCACTAGCATTTGAAGAAATGGATGTGATATGTGACCCAGATCTGCAGAAAAAGGTAGGTGGTCATGGCTCTCTGAAGCTGGTGAATTACTTTTGAGACTCTAAAATTATAAAACGTAGCTATAAAGTAACGAGGTTTCTTCTTTTAACATGAATATATAGATGAGGATTGCATCTTAAAATGAGGCTCTTGCATGGCCTTATTGTTTGATGAGATGACATTGATATCTTTGTTTTACAAATGTGAAGACTGAGGTTCCAGGTGGTTCAGTGATATTATTGTTGTTGTTGTTGTTATTATTATTATTTTCATTCCCGGTCACATAGCAATCAGCCCAGGGTTTGCACCTAGGCCTTTGTATGCTGAGTTCATACCCAACACACATGGCAGTTGCTTCTTATTTTAATTGAATCAATTCTTGTCCTTGATCTTGGTTGAATCCTTTAGCATTTAAAATCTGGAACATTTTATTTTATTTGTTGAGAGAGACAAAGGAAAAAATATTGACATTTAATTTGTCACCACTAATCCTGAGGGGAAGCCTCTGGTAGGTGTGGTCCCTTTCTCTAGGTCACTGTAGCCCTCATGCTTTGTCCAGTTTTGTCTTCTTTGGCCAATGTACTACTCTTCTTCTTCTTTTTTTATTTATTAAAAGATTTTATTTATTTATTTGAGAGGTAGAGTTACAGACAGTGAGATTGAGAGACAGAGAGAAAAGCCTTCCTTCTGTTGGTTCACTCCCCAAATGGCCACAATAACTGAGCTGTACCAATCTGAAGCCAGAAGCCGGTGCTTCTTTCTGGTCTTCCATGTGGGTGCAGGGGCCCAAGCACTTGGTCCATCTTCTAGTGCTTTCCCAGGCCATAGCAGAGAGCTGGATTGGAAGGGGAGCAACTGGGACTAGAACCATATGGGATGCTGGCACCGCAGGTGGAAGATTAACCTACTGTGCCACAGTGCTGGCCCCCATTGCAATGCTCTTCTGAGAAGCCCACTGTGCCTCAGGCCCCACGCTGGGCTCTGAACTCTGGCCTATCTCCTGCCCCAGGCCCCTCCATGAGCTTCTCCTCTCTTCACCTCCCTGCTGCCTTTGTATGTGCTTCATTTCTTGTTTAAAAAATGATAGTTGCTTATTGTAAATTTTATAGACTTTCACATATATTTTATATTTTTATATCAATGTGTAAATAAATCAAAACTAGAAAAGAACCCAGATTTCAGAAATAATAACTCTGTTAATTGGTTGTTTTAACACTATTCTAGATTTTTCCTGTGTATATATACAAATATGAAAATATAGGAAGAAAGATATTTATAATCTTATATAAACAGGGCTCTATTTTATATGCAGGTCTGTTACCTAATTTTTCATACAATGATACATCATTGGATTTTTATCCATACCAATAAAATAGCTGTGCATCATTATTTCTAATGGTTGGTAGAACTCCATTATACATGCACACTGTAATTTACTTAACCAGACTCCTGTTAGTGGAGATACATGTTGTTTCCCATTAAAAAGGAAAAGCATAGCAAAGCTAGGTGTGCCAGGTCAGGTGTAGTCCATCAGTTGCCCGGAGATATGCCAGGTATCTAATGTGGAAGGTGCTGGCACAGAAATTGTAGTGCTGTTTCCTGTCTTGCAAATGTTTTGTGGAAGGCCTGGGCTCTAGCCAGGGCTGATAAGAGCAAAGTGGAGAGTACCAAAGGACCCAGGCAGCTGGAACCTGTTTCTACAAGAAATAAAAGATCCACAAGGTAGAGTTATTCTATCCCATGATCAGAAACCCACAAAGTCATCATCATCTACCCTTTGAGCAATTCTTTCTTGCCTAGGACACTCTCCTGTGAGAACACACACTCTACATAGTAAGATGAGTGCAGGAACAAGTCCAGGGCCCTAATGACACTTCCCTATGGTCTGCTGAATTCTGTCAGTGTTGAGGTGAAGTTACCCCAGCCTAGGTATTTTGGGATTACAGGCTGTATAGACAAAGAATAGCAGGTTGCATGGGGTCAGCGCTGTGGCGCAGTGGGTTGATGCCCTGGCCTGAAGTGCCGGCATCCCATGTGGGCGCTGGTTCTAGTCCCAGCTGCTCCTCTTCCGATCCAGCTCTCTGCTGTGGCCTGGGATAGCGGTGGAGGATGGCCCAAGTCCTTGGGCCCCTGCACCTGTGTGGGAGACCTGGAGGAGGCTCCAGGCTCTTGGCTTCGGGTTGGCGTGGCTCTCCAGTCGTTGCAGCCATCTGGGGAGTGGACCAGCGGATGGAAGACCTCTCTCTCTGTCTCTGCCTCTCTCTGTAGCTCTGTATTTCAAATAAATAAAATAAATCTTTTTTAAAAAAGTATAGCAGGCTGCAGATACCTCAGCACAGGACATAGTGGTGTCCCAGGTGTAAGCTATCCACACTGAGCTGTATGGTCATTGCTTGGGACTAGCTTTTTTAAAGAATTTATTATATATATGCATTTAAAAATTTATTTATTTATTTATTTATTAGAAAGGCAGAGTTATAGAGGCAGAGGGAGGGAGGGAGGGAAGGAGAGAGAGAGAGAGAGAGAGAGAGAGAGAGAGAGAGAGAGAGATTGAGAGATAGATCTTCCATCCTCAATGGAATCTTCACGCTCCAAATGGCCATGACTGCCAGGGTTGGGCCAGGCTGAAGCCAGGAGCCAGGAGGTTCATTTGGGTCTCCTATGTGGGGTCAGGGGCCCAAACGCTTGGGACATCCTCTGCTCTTTCCGAGGTCATTGGCAAGGAGCTGGATCAGAAGTGGAACAGCTGGGACTTGAACTGGCACCCAAATGGGAAGCTACAGGTGGCAGCTTAACCTGCTGCACCACAGCACTGACCCCAGGACTAGCTTTTCTTATGCTCAGTCCCTGGCTCCCTTGGGAGGGGCCCACAACAGATCCTGGTCAGTCCCATCTTTGGTCTCTTATCTCCTAGTGCAGAGTTACCTTTCTTGTCAATGGTGCAGCAAATTGTGCTTCATAAATGAGGGAGGGCAGAGCAGCTGTTCCCAGTAACAATAACGACACGATTGCTGAGACAAACATTTTCATGGTGATGCATGGGAACACTAAATCCAAACCACATTGTTTAGCTTTCCCTCCAGTAAAGGGGAATGCCATATCCCCTAAAGTAAATGGAAGAGGTCATAGTTTAGAAAATATGACAGAGTTGAAAACTTAAAGCTGTATCACACAGCAACATCCTTTGGAGGGGAAAACAACTGATACAAAGGAGTGTATATATATTGCCATGGCAGTTTGTTAGTTTGGAGACTTCCCTGGTCCAAAAATTGAGCCCAGTGGCGGTGAGTCAGGAGTGCCTGGGGCAGCAGTTAGGGGAGGCGGGAACACTCACAGTCGCTGATGGGAAAGGGCCGCACGTGGACATGGACAGACTGGAGGAATGAGGGCCGTGAGAACCGCTCCATGTGCTGCTTCCGTTCAGTGTTTGTCTCAGGCTGACACCAGACACCATATATGGAGCTGGGCGACCCTCATATTTACATGCTCGGGCTCCCTGTTTTTCTTGTGGATTGAAAAATCGCTTGGCGTCTGTAAACACTGTACGAGGGAATTTGGCCTTCAGAGGCCAGAGCAAGCTCTGGGGGAGGGGCAGCAGTTACTGAGATGCCAGAAGGAGCCGAAAGGAAGTGTGCAGTGAAGGCACGACTTCCAGCCTCTCCCCAGAGCGGAGGCAGATTTACCGTGGAGCCAATACATCTGAAGCTTCAAGGCTCTCCCTTGCCCAGTCTCGGGGGGAGATGCTGGGAGGTATGGCACGTGCCAGGTGATGAGAGGAAACCAGTTTGCTGTCTGCAAGGCTTTCTGTATACATGGTTACAAAACTTTCAGATCTGAAGTGCTCAAAACTCACTTAATTTGTCGTGTTTTCTTTTTGCATTCTGGTAAGTTTTAATTTTGTGCATTATACAATTAGGCATCCATTTTCTTAAAGAAGGGCCCCAACTTACATAGGTTCAGATCCTATAGAAACCAGGACCTAGCACCACCAGTTTTGCTTAGTGTCGTGCTTGAAATCTGTATATTCAGGGGACACAGTTCTAGGAGTCCTGTGTGACCATCACCAAGGCTTCATCACCTGCTCCCCACAGAGCAAGACATACTATGGTTAGTGAAGGCACACAGTAGATACTAGCCAGTTTCTGCAGCATCAGAAAACAAACTTCTAGAACCTCTTCCTAAGGCATGAGATGTGTTTCTACTCTAGGAAGTGAGTCTGCAGGAGGAAGTGACTGAGTAGCTGTCGATAGCTCTTCCTGCTGTGTCAGTGTCCATCAGCTGCTTTAAGGAACACTTTAGAAAGGCCGAGATCTTGCACACAGGAACAACTCTTGGCACCCTATGATAGGCAAAAGGAAGAGTGCACACGTGGGAGGCAGGCTTTTCTGTGTGGCATCTTTTGTCAGCATTGCTGCTTAAAAACACTGTGCCGAGAATGAGAGGGACTAGCTGTTGGGAAAACCTCTGGAAATCTGATACTATTTAGTTCATTCTTTCATCTTACAGATAAGAAGACAGGTCTGGACAGATCCATGGCCAGCCCTGACCATAGGCAGTGTGCACCCTGATGTGAATATGGGTAGCTGGAGAAGAGGACACCCAGCAGAGGCCTGGGCTGGGCAGATCCTGAGAAGGTCAGTGTTGGTCCAGCGGCCTGTTCCTTCAGGGGTGTGACACATAAGAAAGCAAGCCAGTGTGCCACATGTTACAGATTTAAGACTTTTATCTGGCATCCAGAGGATGTGATAACTTTTTCCATTGTGGTGTAACAACTTTCAGGAGTGCAGGAGCCCCACATGGTCAGGTGGGTGTTGTAGGAGACTCACACACGTGAAAGAGGGATACTTTGAGAAAAACACGGGCCTGGCTGCCTCAGACTTTGCTTGTTTCTGCCATCTTCATTCCCAGAGGGCCCGAATGTTACCTCCTGTCTTGCCTTCCTCTGAGTTCCGTGCTGGCCACTGGCAGATGCAGGCAGGAAATGCAAGAGTAGGAACTGGGTCCTGCCAGCATTTGGACTGGAAACTGCTCAGCAGGGCCCCTTCAAACAGACAGGGATCTGGCTGCCCCAGGAGACTTACACTCCTCCACTTGAGCCATCGGTAAATTAAAAACCCCTGCAGCCTGGCTCGCTAGTAAGGCCAAGCAGTGTGTAACACAGCTCCCCTAGAAAGAGGGCTTATGTGCTTTTGTTTTATTTCATAATCCTTGGTCTCTGTTCAAAATGTTAGCAAGCTTGGGAGCCCGGGTGGAGAGCTGCGGCTCTGCTGCAGTGGGTTCCAACAGGGCAGCCTACATAGTTGGCCATTTCCCGGGTGAGACCCTCTTGGCGCTTCCCGCATAGGCTTGGTCTGCACCAGGCCAATTAGGTTGTTGACCAGCTGGCTCCCTGGGGCAGTGTGGCTCCACTCTGGCACCCTAGTGTGTTAGAACAAGCACCATTCCATGCTGCCTTTGTGCAAGGAAGAAAGAAGCCATCCTTCATGGGACCTGGGCTATGTATCAAAGAGTAGTGCAGACAGGCAGAGAGTGCTTGCCAAGGATGGGGCTCTAAAGCACTGGGTGTCATGCTCAGACCCCTGAGCAGGCTACACAAGGTGGTCCAGGGAGTCAGAACCACTTGCTGTTCTCAGGCAGGAATATTTACCTGAGCTGATCAAGGTCCACACTGTGGTTCTTTGTGGGTTTCAGTTCTTGGATTATAAAACCACTGGCCAAAGTCTTGTCCCAAGCTGGGCACTCAGATTCTCAAGCTTGGTCACACAAGAAAATCGTTGAACACATTAAAGTAAAGGTGTTGGGCTCCACCCACAAAGGTTGGGTGGGTCCTGAAAAGGAGCAGTTTTGGAGGCTTAAGGACTAAGGATCCCAGCCTGAGATTAGAACACTGCCGCAGAGGGATCATTACTTCAGATGGGCTCATCGCCCGGGATGACTCACTGTCTCATCCGAGATCGCTGCCTCAGGCGGGTCATGGCCTCGGTTAGATTGTTGCCGCAGATTTGATCACTGCCTCAGATGGATCACTGCTTCGGACATTCACCAGCTCAGATTGGATCGCCTCCTTGGAGCGTGTCACTGCATCTTCTCAGACTAAACCATTGCCTCATAGTAGACTAGGCCGTATCCTCAGACTGTGTTAGCACCTTAGCCTAGATCATGTCCTCGGACTGGTCACAGATTGTATCTAAGCCATAAACTGGATCACGGCCTCACAGACTGGACAATGAGTTTCAGTGAGTGCTGCACTGAAATGCCACAGAGGAATCATCTACTCCAATGCCTGGGCTGCCAGTCTGGGAAGAAGAAAAGGAAGGGATCAGTGCACTACCTCTTTTGTTCCCTGAAAACTGTGCAAAAACTATGCACTGTGCATCATGTGGAGCACCAAGTGCTGGTACAGCCATACCCCACTGATAGGTGTGTCAGCCTCTATGCTACATAAAGATCTTCCAAAATCAGCAGTGCAGTGGAGCAGGAAAGAGTCACCAAATCACTGGGAGTTTTAGAACCAGAGTTCAAGTCTGAAATAAATCAGGCAGTTGTCTCCCAAAAGGTGTCTGGAGATGAGAAAAAACACCAGGATCACCCAATAACCCGTGCATGGACTATGGGTGCATCTGGTCAGCCTTACTAGCTTCATCTTAAGACCCTTGTTCTGCAGAAACTAGGAATGGAACACACACTCCTGTGGCACTGGGAATGGTCTAGAGACTAATCCGGAAAAAAAATGTTTGCGTTGCATTTTATGCCTCGAACATATTTCAGGCATGTGCTGAAGATATAAAAAGTGTGTGTTTCTTAAAAGATAAGAAATAGATTTCTCCTTTAAAAAAGATGTTCACTGCCGGTCCTTATCATGCTGCAAGAATGACTCACATCCTGAGGGAAACTGCTGAAGTTTGGGGGATGGGTGTGTGGGGGAGAAGGCCAGTATTTCCAGGCTTTCAGTCAGGCCCTGCACATGTGGCCCCTGGTCTTCCAAGACAGGGGACTTGTCTGGCTGAAAATACGCTGGTGGGTCCCTGTCACTCGTGACGCCCACACTCCGTAGGGCGGAGGCATGGAGAGGCTGGTCAGTCAGATCCCGCGCCAGGGCTGTCTTTGCCGGCCCGCGCCAGGGCTGTCTTTGCCGGCCCGCGCTGAGGCGAAGTCCGGGAGAGCGCGCGAGCGGCCGGGGCGCCTGCGTCACGGCGCGGCGCTTCCCGCCAGCCTGGCGCGGAGGCGGGCGGGCGCCGCTCAGCTGGCCGCGCCCCCAGCGGGAGCGCCCCGGCCGGCGGCGCGGGCGGCCACATCAAAGGGGTTGTGCGGCCGGCGCGCGGCGCGAGTTGTGTGTGACAAGAGGTTTTACGAGTCTGGACTTTTATCAGCTGTAGGCCAACAGCTTCCTCCTCTCCGTGTGTTGTCCGCTTTTCCAACTCGCCGGAGCGTTCTCACGCTTTTTAGACTCAGCCCGCGTGACTCCGGGCTGGCTGCGGCTCTGAGCTGGGCTCATTCAAGAGCCGCTAGTCACAGTCTGACTCCCGACAGCGGGGCTCCGGTGAATGGGAGCGGGGTGGTGGCTGCTTCCATCTCCCTGCTCCCCGCCTCCCCACCCCTGCACAGTCCCAGAGGCCCGGGTCCTCGGGGGAGGTCACCCGGGCTGCCCAAGCAGACTGACCTTACAGAAGCCACAGAGAAACTGTTCCCCAAATCCTGCAACACCCTGCTGGCCCAGTACTGGGTTCTCCCAGGGGAGAGACCACGTCCTAGTGGGCCTCACCCCTTCTGATGGCAGATGGGCTTTCTTTCCCCTCCAGTTTTCAGTGCATCACAAACCTGTATTTTGATAAGCTATGAGAAAATAAATTACTTAAAAGTGAAATGAAAGAAGAAGCAAAATGCAAATTCAGTAGTTTAATTTTGGATTCAACAGACATCAAAAATCTCTCTCAAATTGCTGTAGTGGTTTCTTAAAAAAAGATTTCTTTATTTTGGAAGAGTTACAGAGAGAGAGACAGAGACAGAGAGATAGAGACAGATCTGTTGGCTGGTTTACTCCTCAGATGGCTGCAGTGGTCAACACTGGGCCAGGCTGAAGCCTGAAGTGTCATCCGGGTCTCCCACGTGGACGGGAGGCTCAAGTGCTCGGACTGCCTTCTGCTTTTCCCAGATCATTAGCAGGGAGCTGGATTAGAAGTGGAGCAATTGGGACTCTGACAAGGGGCCCATGTGGGATGCTGGCGTCACAAACAGATGCTTGCTAAGCCACAGTGCTGGACCCTATAGTGGTTTCTTTCTTTTTGTTTGTTTTTTGACAGAGTGGACAGTGAGAGAGACAGAGAGAAAGGTCTTCCTTTGCCATTGGTTCACCCTCCAATGGCTGCTGTGGCCGACGCGCTGCACTGATCCAAAGCCAGGAGCCAGGTGCTTCTCCTGGTCTCCCATGTGGGTGCAGGGCCCAAGGACTTGGACCATCCTCCACTGCACTCCCGGGCCATAGCAGAGAGCTGGACTGGAAGAGGGGCAACCGGGACAGAATCTGGAGCCCCAACCGGGACTAGAACCCTGGGTGCTGGCGCCACAGGCGGAGGATTAGCCTATTGAGCCGCGGTGCCGGCCCCTATAGTGGTTTCTAATGTCTGCTCCTAACTCCTGTGTTATCTTAGGCTGTGAGGTGCTAGTGGGAAGGCCTAACATTCCACTAGTAGGTCAGTGAGTCTGGGGTGTGTGTGTGAGTGTGCATATATGGATGTGTGTGTGTTACTAGTATGTGTATATGTGAGACAGTATTGTGTACATATATATGTGTGTATACTGAGTATGTGAGTGCATTTTTGTATTTGAGTGTGTGTGTTATATTGATATATGAATGTGTGTATTGTGTATCTGAATGTGAGAGTACTTTGGTAGTATGTTTGTGTCTGCATGTTTGTATGTGTGTATATGTGAGTACATAGATGTATATGTGTGTGTGCATACTGAGTGTGTTAGTATTATGGATATGAGTGTAACTGAGTGGGTGAATGTGTATGAGAGAATATGTGTGTACATGTGTTTTTGTGGATATTGAGTTTGATATTAGTATTGTGTGGATGTGTCTGCATGTTTGTTTGTGTGAGTGTGTTTGTGTGTGTGTGAAGGTAGACTAGAGTTTACACCATGAGAAGAGTATACTGAGGCTTAGATAGCACTGCTGCCTCAACACAGGGTCTATGGGACTGGTGCCTGCAGGTAGGAGTGCACACGTAGTTCAGGTGCACAGGGACATGTGTGAAGACAGGAGTGGACTGGAGGGCCATTGCCAGGAGGACAGGCCTGTGTGGGAGAGGCCATGGTTGATTCAGGATGGATCCATTCTCTCAGTGTGCAGGCCCTGGTCAGATGTGTGCACGCCTTAGCCCTTATGGCCCTCCTGGAGCCCGTAAAGATGTGTTATCATGAGCTCTGTTTTTTTAATTTTAATTTTTATTTATTTGAAGGGCAAAGTTACAGAGAGCAGTAGAGACAAAGAAAGAGAGAAAGGTCTTCTATCTGTTGGTTCACTCCCCAAATGGCCACAATGCCTGGAGCTGAGCCAATCGACAGCCAGGAGCCAGAAACTTCTTCTGGGTCTCCCACATAGGTGCAGAGGCCCAGACACTTGGGCCATCTT